GAGAAATATGAAATGGGTAATAAAATGTACTACAAGAGAGTGGATTGTCCAGAGTGGAAAGGACCAGGAACGGTCATTGGTCAGGATGGAGCAGTGGTATTTGTGAGACATGGAGGGACTTGCATTAGGGTAACAAATTGTAAAATACAGAGATAAAGAAAAATGTGTTTTGTGCACAGCTAAAATCTTAGGGCGTGCAGGTAAAGCTACATGTAAATATAAAAACTGGTTTAACCTGTTGCTCATTGAGCCCACTAATGTAGCAGGCAGTACAGAGTCTGCTGACATGTTGAATGTTGAGAATCTTCAGATTGAATCCACTGTTACTAATGCTGACTCCATTGATGTATGTGAGGATGTGTATGTAACAAAAGATGTAACATTTGACTTTGCAAAACAGGAAGAGATAAAGAGTTGGAGAGATAACCATGTCTTTGAAGAAGTGAAGGATGAGGGACAAAAGTGCATTTCAACTAGGTGGGTTTGTACCTACAAAGAGACATTGAAGGGGTTTGTACCCAAAGCTCGTCTTGTTGCTAGAGGTTTCGAAGAACTAGAGGTGTCAGAACTCAAAAAGGACTCACCAACATGTGCTTCAGAGTCTCTTCGGCTTCTTGTGGCAGTGATTTGTCAATGGCAGTGATTTGTCAAAGACAGTGGACACTTAACTCCATGGATATAAAATCTGCATTTCTACAGGGAATGGAGCTAACAACTTGCAGACTGCCTTACAAAAAAGGGGGCATCACCACTGCAATTACTTAAGGCACTTAGTGAAGGACAATGGAAGCTCTATTAAAAAAATTAAAAAAGGCACGAGTCATATAAAAAGGAGCTGTTAATAATTAACTGTTAAAACAGGTTATTTTATGTTAATGTTTTGTTTTTTTACAATAAGAGCTCCTAGGGCATGTGCTGAATATTGAAATATATATACATATATATATATATATATATTTTTTTAAGAAGAGATGGAGTTTGTTAAGTTTCAGTCATGGTTATACATTCTGATTTTTGTATACATTTAATATTTCTGTGCTATCTGCCTAGGGTTCTGAATGTAAGTTTGCATATAGTACACTGAGAGGAAGTAAGGACTCTTATGGGGGTGAGATCGCTGCTTCCGGTTTTGATATGTTGTTGTGAACGGCTATGGTTGTAGTCGAATAAAGAAAGTTTTCCATTAAGTTTAAAACAATTGTCTTTTGATGACTAACACTGGCTCCACCTGTCCTGGCAGGATTGTCCTCTCGTCAGCTCTCCTCTGGCACTGTTGCTATGCGACAGAGCACTAATCGGGAACCTCTGGTGTCGCAATTAGGAAATCCCCAGGGTTTCTGTTCATGTCAAATTATTACAATTGATCAATAAATTCAATATACACTATAGGGCTGTTACCAGTCAGATTAAATAATTTACACTGCAAAATTACAACAGCAATAAATAATGTTATGAGATTAATGTTTTAAATAAATTTTGGATATACAAATAAGAAATGCAAATGAAGAAATGTTGGGGGGGGAAATGCATACTTTTAAACATACTAAACCACCAGTAGGTGGTGGTAAGTCCCTTAATGAGTGAGTCATTCAACCGATTCGTTCAAAATGCTGAATCTTTCCGTAACAAAACACCGCCAAGTATTGCTTGGAGAATGTTTAATACTTCTGCTGTGACCTTTGTTTGGAACTATTTTCATTGTAGAAATAGAACAAAAACAGTAAATATTGTGTCTAAAATGTAAGTAACTTAACTACCAGACTACTTTACTTGTTCATTGAAATAAAATCAATGTGACATTTGCAATCGTGAAAATATTCAGGAAAAGAGCTCCCTTGTCAAGGTGTTACTTAACTATATCATGTTATGAATAAACTAAACATTTAGAATTTTTACCTCAGTGTGTTTCTTCTGAGTTTCTTTCTGTCTGCTGTTACGCTCATTTGTTTTGAAGTCTCTCACAAAGAGACAGGCAGCGTGAGCCTCAACAGCACGACCTTGATACCAGAAATAGCCGACACTATCCATTGTCAATCACGGTTTACGCTGAATGTAATAAAATCAGAAGAATCATTATCGCGTTTCGATGCTTCGCTGGTTATTTTTTTGTCACTTAAATTTTAGTCAGGCTATTTGTCCGGTCGGGTAAGTAAAAAAAAAAAATTTTTTAACTAACTAGAAGGCTGGTCAGCTAGCTGTAGCTCAACCTATATTATTATTATTATTGAGAACATTATATAAACAAAGAAGGTAGTTCAACCTGTATTCCACTACTGCAATTCTGTCTGATGAAGCAGTAATACCGCGGGGGAAGAAAAAAAATCTTCGGTCTGTCTGTAAACAATGATTGTAAACAGTCATTAGGTCCGTCAGACTGAAAAAGATATTTTAGCGGTAATGTGACCAAAAATATTTAAGACCTATTGAATCTGAATTTAAGACATTTTAAGACTTTTTAAGGCCTTTTATGAGGAAAACGTTTTTTAAGACTTTTTAAGGACCCGCGGACACCCTGTGTGAAGGCGGAGTGTCCTTCATACACTTCGGAGGGTCCTTCGTGCACTTCGGAGGCGTGGCCTTCGAAGTCCGTGCCTTTCGAAGTGAGTGCACTTAACTTTGGGACACAGCTAAAGAGTCGTAAACTTTCCCTCCAAAAGAGAAAGTCACCATTGGCTCTTTGACCCCCCAGAGAGGTATGACCTCGATAAAAGATAAAGGCCTCACATCAGTGACCCCCATCAGTCTGCAGTTCTTTTAGACCCTAAGAGGATGAGGATGATGAGCTAGAACTCTTCTGGAGCCCTAAGTTTGTGCCAGGCTGCGGCCTTGTCTTTACATTTACCAACGATCCTCGGATCTCAGCTGATGTCTCTTAGCTCTTCTTTCACTTTCCACCTGGGAAGAAACTCCCAATCACCACGGAGTCAAAATAACATCTTTGGACTTAATCACCCTTCAAACCTGGAAGAACATGATTGCAATTCCAGCAGTACCAAACCTTCAAACCATCAAGATTTTCATCCAAGACTGCATCCAGATGCTCGGTCAACGACCAAGGCAATGCAAGTATTAAATATTTACCTAAACGAAACAGAAGTTTAGTATAAGCTGTAGACCCCATTGTAAAACTGTGTTGATGGTTTGACACAAAGGTTAACTGACTCCTTTTCATAGCTTCATTCCCTGTTTCTCTAATGCAGTGGTTCCCAATCCTGGTCCTGGAGAACCCCCAATACTGCACGGTTTTGGTGTCTCTCTTATCTGACACACACATTTGAGGTCTTGGAGTCTTCACTAATGAGCTGATGAGTTGAATCAGGTGTGTTTGAATAGGGAGACATCTAAAATGTGCAGTGTTGGGGGTTCTCCAGGACCAGGATTGGGAACCATTGCTCTAATGGATTCATTCATCCAGTCTCACTTGCCCTTCCCCCATGTACAGTATGAGTGATTGTATGTTTGTTTGATTAGTTATGTGTTAGTGCTTGGTTAATAAAACTTTTGTGCACAAATTACATGAGATTCTGATTCTGTCATTGCTTGTAAATTAATGTCCCTTTTATGATTCCACCTTTTTATATGATGAATGGGGTTCGTCAAGGTGGAATACTGTCTCCTCTTCTTTTTAACTTGTATATGGATGATCTTTCTTTAAAGTTAAACGATTGTAAAACTGGATGTGTAATAGGGGATCGTCTTATAAATCATCTGATGTACGCTGATGATTTAGTTATTCTGTCCCCTTACAGTGCGGGATTGCAACAGTTGCTTCGTATATGTTCAAGCTACGGTGTGCAGTTTGATGTTAAATTTAATAGCAAAAAGAGTGTGGTTATGATTGTCAAAACCAAAGACGACTTTAAAGGGGTCATATGATGCGATTTTTTGCGAAGTTTTCCTTTCTCTTTGGAGTGTTACAAGCTGTTCGTGAATTGATAAGATCCTTAAAGTTGCAAAGACTAAAGTCTCAAACCCAAAGAGATATTCAATTTAAAAGTTAAGACTCGTCCACGCCTTCCTAAAAGGCTTCGTTTAAACACGCCCCCACATGTCTATGTCACTGTGTGGGAAGATTTGCATAACACAGCCTAAATGTTTATGCAAAGAAAGAAGGCATAACTTTTATTCTTGCTGTAGTATTTTTGCTGCTGCCGCCATGTCCTGGAGACAGTGTGTGTTTCGTTGTGAAAGTGAAACTACTTAGTTTGGCCTTCCAAAAGAGGACACGACCAGAAATCAGTGGTTAAGTTGCATTTACAACACTGTCCCAGAACAGTTCAAACCAAATATTCGAGTGTGTGCAACGCATTTTACAGAGGACTGTTTCCTGAACCTGGGAGAGTAGCCTACAAAGCCGGCTGTTCTGACTCACAGCCTGTAAGTATGTTTTCATATTTAAAGAATTTGCCACTGACGATTCAAACACAAGTTTTGAGCAGTGTAGAGTAGCTCTTGTTGTTTGCCGTTTCTCCGATCACAAATGCAGACATGGTTTTATGTTTATGCGACTTGATGCAACGCAACGCATAAAAAGACAGTATAAGTCATTATAATCAGTAATTATGTCCCCACTGGATGCAACAAATGCCTCGTTT